TTCTGAAATGCATATGAAAGCAAAAGCCTAAGAATAGTCATGGCACTGCTGGAGAAAATTAAGGTGGGAGACTTGCACAGTCAGATGTGCACGTCTTATTTTAACTGTGGTTATGGCTCAAAGAATAAACCCAATAAGACAGACTAGAGAGCCCAGAAATAGACCTTATGCATATGGAAACTAGATCATTGCAGGCACACACTGCAGCTCAGTGAGGAAAGGAAAAAATTCCACGATGAAGAGAACGAATGATTATTCCTACCTCACACCATACCAGGGAATAAATTCCAGGGGATTTTAAAATGTAATATATAAAACTTTAAAAGGAATAGAAGAAAATATAGGATAATTTCTTTTCATTCTTGGGATAGGATGGATTTCTGAAACAAGGTGCACAAAACCCTAACCAAAAAGAAAAAGATGGATACATTTGACTACATTAAAATCAATAATTTCTGCTTGGGAATTCCCCAGTGGTCCAGTGGTTAGGACTCCGAGCTTTCACTGCCGAGGGCCCAGATTTAATCCCTGGTTGGGGAACTAAGATCCTGCAAGCCGTGTGGCATGGCCAAGCAAAAGACAACAACAAAAAAATCAATAATTTCTGCTCATCAAAGAGGTCACAACGAAAAGTGATAAGACAAGTCACAAATTTGGGTAAGGTATTTGCCACACGTCAATGATTATAAAATATATAAAGAACTTCTACAAGTTAATAAGAAGAAAATGAAGCACCCAATAGAAAAATAGGCCAGAGAACACAAACAGGCATTTTACATAAAAGGTCCAATACACATATGAAACTCGACTCACTTTCCTAGTAATCAGGGAAGTGACAGTTAAAACCATAATGAAACACCACTTTACTCTCAATCCATTGACAAAAAATCCCAAGTGCTGTTAATATTAAGTGTTGGCAAGAACTTGGAACAAGGAAGATGCCTGTGCAGTACAGGTGGGAATGTGAATTGGTTCAACTCATAAGAAACAATCTGGTAGTTTTTTTTTTTTTAATATTTATTTATTTGGTTGCGCTGGGTCTTAACTGCGGCAGGCGGGCTCCTTTAGTTGCGACTCAAGGGCTCCTTAGGTGCAGCACGTGGGCTCCTAAGTTGTGGCATGCATGTGGGATCCAATTCCCTTGCCAGGGATTGAACCTGGGCCCCCTGCATTGGGAGCATGGAGCCTTAACCACTGTACCACCGGGGAAGTCCCCAATCTGGTAGAATTTTTGTGAGTTGGCCATTTGCATACTATGTGGCCCAAAGATTCCTTTTCTAGGGAATACAGGTGTATATTAATAGAGAAACCCTTGCAGAGGTGACCAGAAGCCTTGCAGAAGAAATGTTCATTAACGCATTGTTGTAATAGTAGTAAAAAATCAGAAAGAACCCAAATATTCATTGTTACAATAGGCAATAAAATTGTATATCCACATAGTGGATTGATACACAGCAGTACAAATGAATTAAATACTATTACACGTGTCAACATGGCTGAACCTTAGAAATATAAGGTTGAGGGGAGGAAAACAAATCAGAGAATAATACATGTATTTTATTACTACTTTTATAGTATTCAAATCCAAGCAAAACTACATTAAGAGCTTCATAGATATGTGGTTATAGACTTTTAAAGCAAAGCAGAGAAACTCAGGATAGGAGTTACCTGGATTCGTTAATTAATATACAAAGATTGGCTTAATAGATGGAAAATTGGTATATTTTCATGATTGTCGTTGGATCTAAAAATAGATGTATCTTTAATGTCCCTCACAGGATACAGAGGTGGGGCGGGGCAGGGGGAAGAAGAGGCTGGGACGATGTGGGAGCCTCTGAACATGGGAGCCAACAGTTCGTGTCACCCCTGAGCATGAATGCTTCTCCCCATATTGGGAGGTGGTCTACGTCTCCTCCACTTAAATCAGGGCTACTTTGGTGACTTGCTTTGCCCAATAATGCATGAAAGCAATATTCTGGATCTTCGGATTCCAGGCTTTAAAAGGACTGGCAGCTTACCCTTCCTCTCACTAGGAGCTCAGTTGCCAAGCTGTAAGGAAGGCCAGGGTATTGACTGGCACCCATTTGTAGCCATACCCTGGACGGCAGGCGCCATTTTGGATGGCCCAGCCCAGCGAAGCCTCCAGCTGAGTGCAAAGCACGAGGCAGCCCCTAGCGCGCGAGGGCTAACATCAGTCAGTGTGGAACTCGGCCATCCTGCAGAATTAAGTTCTGGGGTGGTTTGTTCCGCAGAAGCAAGGGGAGAGGGACATGCAAAGAATTCAGTGATACTGGCAGAGTCTTGTTTCGTGCGTTGGCTGTGGGGTCGTTGTACTCCATAACTTACATGCTGGTGATTTAGATATAGTGTTCTGTATGTATTAAATGCTTCACAATATAAAATATGAAAAAAGCCCCAACTTAACAGATTGTATCTCCCTAGTTTTGATTTGTATTTTCTATGCAACTGCGATTAAACATCTGTTCGCGTTTAAGCAACGATCCATTTGTATTTCCCTGTGAACGGCCTGCTCCTATTCGTTGCCCCTTTATCTATTGGGTGGTTCATTTTTTCATATTGATTTATAAGAACTTAGCATATTAAGGAAAATAGCCCTTTAATGTCCTGGCTTTCTAAAATATCTCCCCCAGTTTGCCACTTATAAAACTTTTGACTTCGTGGTATGTTCTGTTGCACATCAATTTTAATTTTTTATTAGTCCAAGTTATTATTACTGGTAGGTATCATGCTTAAAAAGACTACCCTCCTCCAAGATGATCTTTTAAATCATCTCAAGTACTTTTAAGATTTCATTTCATACTTAAAACCTTTGAATTAATTTTGTTACAGGGAAGCAGGACCCAGATTAATTTTTTTGTCAAAATGACTAGCCAGTTGTTCCAATAAAAAGAACCCACACGTACCCCACTAACCTGAATTTCCTTGTACTTAAGTTAACTCCTGGGCACTCCACTGTGTCTCATTGACCTTTTCCTTTGCTACACCAAAATCTTTAATTCTACTAGGTTTTATATTTGGAGACTGTTCTCCCCCCCTTTCCAGGATTTACCTGGCTATCCCCCATGTTTACTTTCCTCAAATAACTGAATGTGTCAGTTAAAGAATAAGCCCTGTTGGCATTTTAATTGCGACTGCGTTTCATTTAGATTGGGAAATGCAACAGAACCCAACATCTCTGCAAGATTGCATTTGCATCTGAGAACAAGGCGTGTCTGCACTAATTTGAATCTTTTACGTTCTTCGCAGGATTACCGAGTCTGTGAGCCAAGGGTGTAGACACCCATCCTTGCCCCCAGGGCAGGACCCAGATCGCACCTCTGGGGTCCACTCAGCCAAGGCTCCAGGCAGCTCCCACACCCTTCCTCTCTGCAGCATGTGACCCTGTGACTCATGCCAAACCCTACCTCAGATCCACCGAGATGGTTACTAATCGCCCAGAAAGTGTGGCGACACCGTCCTCGTGCTTAAGGACAAGCAATAATGATGTCATCTTCCGTGTAGAACTGAACCGGTGGTTTATAGGCACTTAAAAGCAGCCAGACCTTGGGCAAGTTGCATGATCTGCGGTCCCTTTCCTCCTCCCTTGCCTGTAAAATGTGAATCTACCTGGCGGGGAGTGACAGAAAGAAGGGGACACCTACGTTCCTTGGCTGAAGCTCGGAACAGGCCCACCTCTTCAGGGGCCAGACGCCAACCCGTGAGTGAGCTTCTCCTTCCTGCCGCTCCCACCACGCCCACCTGCCCCAC